CTCAGGCAATCCACTCACCTCAGCCTCCCAAAGTGCTGGGATTACAGGCTGAGCCACCGAGCCCGGCTTGTTCACAGTTTTATCTCTACCACCTAGAACGGTATCTGGCACATGGCAGGCCTCATTAAATGATTCTTAAAGCAATGACTGATAGTACTACCAGTGGACATTTGCTCTGTGTAGCTAAATACGTGTTTATGCCTGAGGGTTGGGGGTCGTTTTTGGTTCTTTGATTCATTCAACAGTGATTTCACAGCCTTTCTCCCATCAGCCCCCGCACCCAGCACTGCGACCTGGAGCACTTTCCCTTCCCTGCCCCGGCCAATGCCCCCCTCCAGCGCATCCGTTCCACGTCCACTCCCAACGTCCATATGGTCAGCACCACGGCCCCCACGAACTCTAACCTCATCCAGGTTGGTGTCATGAGGGACAATGCTGGGGACCACTGGGCAGAGGGGAGAGTCGTTCCTGTTGGCCTCCATGGCCTCTCTTTGACTCCTCTCCCTCTTCTTCCAGCTCACTGGCCAGAGTTTCAGCACTGATGGTGAGCCCCCTGTGCCTGCACCCTGATCCCCTGGCCCCAATCCCCACCTCCCACTTGCCTCTACTCACACCGTCTGCATAACTGCAGCTGCTGGTAGTAGAGGTGGTGGCGATGGAGCCCCCCGGGGGAGCCCCAGCCCAGTCAGCGTGTCCTCGGGGAGGAAGTCCCCACATTCCAAGTCACCATCGGAGCAACGGGAGCGCAAGTCCCTGGCTGATGACAAGAAGAAAGTGGTACGCTCAAGGGGGAGCCTTTGGGGGGCACCGCAGACTGAGTGATGTGGGCTGAGGGATGTGAGCAGGCTCCTCAGATGCTGCCCGTCTGGCCCACAGAAGAACCTGGGATACCGGGACTCGGGCTATTACTGGGAGGTGCCACCCAGTGAGGTACAGCTGCTGAAGAGGATCGGGACGGGCTCATTTGGCACGGTGTTTCGAGGGCGGTGGCATGGCGATGTGGCGGTGAAGGTGCTCAAGGTGGCCCAACCCACAGCTGAGCAGGCCCAGGCCTTCAAGAACGAGATGCAAGTGCTCAGGTGAGGTCACACGCATGCGTGGATTGGGGTGGCGGCAAGCACGGGGCAAAGGCCATGCTCGGAGTGCCTCCTGGATGTCACCTGTGTGTGTGTTGTTAGAACCATACGGAAGTTGTTTCTTTCTCAGCGATAGCCCTTTCCCCTGTGGAAATTAATTTGTTTAGAGGACCTCTGATGGTGCTGTTGTTTGTGTTTGGGTTCATATTGATATTAATTAATTAATGGCTCTGCGTCCAAGATGTGGGTCTTCCCATTTGCCTGCGGTGAAATGGGCCTGGGGGTAGGCCCTCAATCACATCATCAGTGCCCTTGCACGAGGAGCATAGTGTTAGTAAACCACAGCACCAGGAAGGCGTGTGTCCTCCCTTCCCTTCTGCTTGGACTGCATCACTAATGTGTTTATTGTGTGGCATTTTTATTATTCATTAATTATAATCATCCCTTAATTGACAGAACAATATTATTAATTATAATCATCACCATAATCTAACATCACTTAATTTTTGTAATTGCTCTAATTAATATGTAGTTAATACCATATTAATTCATTCACACTGAGAAAGCTAGGTGTTTCCTTTTCTTTGCTGTAGTTACTGTGTAGTGTAGTACTGTTGACCTGTGTACTACCTGGGTAGCGCTGTGTAGTCTCCACCACTCCTGGGGATGTTGATGTGGGTTTTTCCCCTCTGTTAAGTGGGCACAATTATGCTACAGAGTTAATGTCATCATAATTACTTGTGTTATGTTAATGTTGACCTTCACAGTGGATGCCACAGTAAGAAAACTTTCATTCTCAGTTTCTCTCTGTGAAATGGCAATGATTTGAGCATTTTGTTGTTATTATTATTTTTTGAGTTGGAGTCTCACTCTGTCACCCAGACTGGAGTGCAGTGG